CATCCTTGTCGGGAAATGAACAAATATTGTTCACTTGTCAACCGATCTGATTTGTTGCAAAAACCTCTTACTGATTGCGCGTAGTCATCTGACGGATTAAAGGCTGCTGTGCAATGACAATTCAACACAGGTCGCATAAGAGACATTAAAGACGCACAAACCGGAGAAATGCTAGCAATCTTCTGAATCCCTGTTGTGGAGAAAACAGAAATCATATTGAAATCTGGAAATGACCAACAATACAGGTTGTCTCGCGATGATTGAATGAATTGGACAGCCTGATAGACCTTACTGTCAGGAATTGTCAAAAACAATCCGTCTGAAGTGCAATGTATTGTTGCCTGTAATTTACATAGTAAGTCCCTGCCCATTAAATTAATAGGACTTCCATCTGAAATAATGAAAGAGTGTTCCACGTTTGATCCATTAATTGAAACATTAGTGTTCTCTGAAATGGGTTCGGACATAGAAATTCCAGCAACACCGATGGTTGTGACAAATGTATTGGTTGCTTCACACACTTTCTCCTTAGTACGCACGGCAGACAAGGTGGCTCCGCTGTCAATCAAAATATCTACAGCCGTACCACTAAAATCAACGGGCATAATTGGATCTTCACGCGGGTTATTGGAAAGGCGAATTGTTGTTGCTTGAATGGGTAAATACTGTGATTCTGATCCTATATCTTCTTGGCACCACTATCTTTTATTAAATCCACTTTGTTGAGCGTTCTGCCCCTGGTTCTGTCCGTCATAACGTGGAGACTGCATTAATGCCAGATGTCCGGACTGCTGGGGAAGGTTGGGGGGAAGTGCGGGCTGGGAGAAGGGGGGCTGGGTGAGGGGGGGCTGTGTGTGCTGCTGGACCCCCCACCGCTTACCACATTGTCCTGCCCAGTGATCGGTTTCTCCGCAAACATGACATGGCATTAACTTTTTGGGATTTTTGTTCTGTCTGCTCTTATTATGATAATCCTGTGATCTCCCCTGATTTTGATACTGCTGTGTGTGGTTTTGTCCCTGCGTTTGATAAGCCTGGGTGTTTTGAGGCAATTGTTGAAGCAGTTGTGAAATTCTGGGAGTAAGAAATATTTGGCTCCTATGCAACGCACGCATTGTGGCGATAGTCGCTTTCCAAGATTTAATTTGCCATTCGGGAGTCGACATCATGTAGGCCTGAGCCGTTTCTGGGATTAAATTATGTAACAAGGTCTGTATGGCAAACAAATCATTACCGTCTCTTTTAATTCCCGCATTATTATCCCACACTGTCATGAAACGCTGGATAAATTCTGGGACATTTTCCGCTGGGTCTTGTACACATGCCGTCACTTGTGAGAAATCTGTGTGAGTTTTAGCGCATGCTTTGATAGCCAATGCGGCGACGTTTTGTATCCACATGTCTCGCGTCTGTGTCGGGGGCCAGTCCCCTGCGGCTGTACACTCAGGAAATTTAAACTCGTCTCTGCACGTGGGCCAATCTGCCTTGTATGTTAAGATTATCAGCTGTTTAACATCATGAACCAAACAGTTATAAACTGAACCAATATTAGTCAACCATGACAGATACTCATCTGGACTTTTAGTGGGACTGGGAGCGTGGTTAGTGACATCAATGACCTCAGCGGGTGTCCAGGGTTTGCAAACTGGAACATCTCCTATCAGAATTTTCGGGGCGGTCACACTTTCTTCAGAATTATTATCCTGAGATGTTTGCTTTGTCGTGTACATTTTACGCTGGACATTACTTGGAAAACTGCTGCCGTACGGCGAAACTGGGTAATCTCGTAAAAGGAGTGGCTGAGTGCGATGAGTGGGGGTCAATCGCGGACTGCCATGTGAAACATTCCCCTCCCCCGCTGCTGCCCTCTGCTCGGCGTGTGCCGATTCTAATTCTCCATGTTGTCCTATCTGATATCTCAACTTATTTTCATTCATGATAGCTGCAGCTGTTATTAACAGATCATCATCGGAGTTTCTCGCAACGGGATTTGAGAGTTCTGTCGCGGGAATTATTTTCGTACAGAGAGATACAGCCTGCTCTCCGTCCAACAGCCCTGCGTCTGTCAAAATACAAATGAGCTGAGATGGGGTTGGAGTTTTACCTTGTCTTTTAATCCAATCATAAATTATGGATTTTGCAATGTCTGGAACATTCTCACCGTGTCTTTCCCTGAATCTGGACATGTTTTCTGATCTCACATCAAAAACAGCCTCTAGGCTAAGCAAATGAAAACTTTTTGCACATTGAGAAACTTTATCAATAAGCGCCTTGAGCTCAATGGAGCCTCGCTCGCTGCCAACAGATTTTGCATTTTTCCTTTCTTCATAACCCCGCTTTTCTGCCAAAGTCATCCAGGCTTTCACACATTCTGTCATGTATCCTTGATCCCATGAACAATTTGAATTATCTTCCACCAGTTTAAATGCTTGCCACAACACGGCCATATCAAAACTACCTGTCAGAGGCCAATCAAATCGAATCAATCCTTTCTGATTAATCTGTTGTGAGTGTTCGCAAAGTAACGATGTAAACGGCATAACTTTAGACCAATCCAAAGTTCTTCCGACAATTCCAGACGGCATGTTTGGAGAAAACAAATGCGTGTAGTGGTTTTCTGCAATCGGGTTTTTTTTAAGTGTCTTTGTGCGTGAAATGGCTTTCCTCTTACCAACTGAATCGTTTGTGGAGGCAGTATTACCCATGTTTAACGGTTAGTACAATAAAACAAACACTGCAATTAGACAAACAAACATGTACTCGCAACAAAATCAGTGCCCTGGCCAAAAAATCATCCAGTTTAATTTAGTCCGAGAATTACGGAAAACGTCAACGGGAGCACTGAAATATCTGTTTAATATGGGCTCTTCTCAGCCATATTCAATCTGTTGATGAGCAATAAACGACCTTATTCTCAATCAAAACCACTATGCAAATGTAGTGGTAAAACTGCTCAACCGACCGAGAGCAGCGATTGTTTTAATTAATTCAGTGCTTTTTTTTTTCTTTTTCTTTTTTAAACAACAGCCAATTCAATAATCCGTTAGTTTATTAAACACAGTGTGAACGTAATATTCTGCCACGACCCTTCCCATTTAATAGCTCAATTTAGTTCTTGAGCTTATGGTGTGATTAACAGAAAATACAAGTCTGTGTTCTTAAACATTACTCGTGTGCCGCTCACCACAGGGGGGAAGGGAATTCGCCCTCCCTCCTGCAGGCCTGAGCAGACACCCGAAAACGGATTGGTCTGATTTAAACCCGTTGAAATCTCCAGAATTCGGCAATTTGTTTCAATTACAAATCCTCACATTGCTTCTTTTTTTTTAAAAACAGAGGTTCCACCTTGCTGATGCTTTCCTTAAGGTCTCTCCGAATATTTGCAGTGTGTGATTGTCCAGTAATTTAATTCTAGAAACCACACACAGCGGAAATCGTTAAAAGTCGATGTTCCGAGGTTATTTATTAGCCCCAAATATTCTTATTGTTTATACATGAGCTGTGCTTGCTTTTGTTGGCACTTGCCCCAGCAGCATTCACAGGAAGAACCGGCCAAGATAGAAATCTCCTAGACACCGATTCCTCAGGTTATAATTAAGCCTTCAAATGTACAGTGGAGAGACCAAAACAAATTGCACTCGCGCAGTTTCACAGATAATTTTGATACCGTCAATCACAGAGTCTGGTAAGGCAGTTGTTCAAATAGATTTGAAAAAAAGCACTTACCAGCCTTCTGAAGAAATCTCGGTATCCTGTTCGTTAGACGCCAAAATGTGAAGGTAAACTTCTGTTGTTGCAATGTTGAGGTAGAATGAAGGAGTCTGGAACCGTTGTTAGCCAAAAGCACTGAAGAGTTTTATTGATCACAGTACATTAATTACATACGGCCGGGGAGATCACTTAGTTGCACACCGTCCCGTGTTTCACCAGCGATCTCTGAACCAAAAGACACAAAACATCTAACCAACACGAGGAGAGGCGGGCTTCCAGAAAGCCCGCGTATAATCAATTAGCCGATGCAAGACAATGATCTGCTTGTCTCAAAGAGATGCTGCTAGATCTCAAACCCCCCCACGGATATCGGAGAAGCGTTTGACCTGTGACCTCAACCTACAGAGAAGTCTCTGACTGACTACAAGCAGATGTTTGCAGTATCACAGACTCTAAGGAACCATAAAAGACTCTATAAACAGATCAGATGAAAATATTCTCGTACATTATAGGTCTATAGATATGTGACCTGCTCTATCGAAATCAGTCGCATTGACCCGAAGACACATTTTGAGTTGTATACACTGTTGGAAAGAGGATATTCCTAGCTTTCTAATGATATCTAATGCTCCCTATCTCTGTTTCTTATCCTATATCTAATAGAACTGCTCGCGTCTTGATAGATTGAGTGAGGAAGTTCATGAGATCTTTCTAGAGGGTTATCAAGAATAACTTTTATCCAATGACCTTTTCCCTCTCTGTCTGTGTCTGTGTATTCTCTTGTTCCGATTAACCCAGCCAAATCTTTTTTCTTGTTTTGTATCTATATCTACGCCGGGATCCGGAGTCGAGGCTGATCCTCTTGCTGTTGTCCTGTGTCTTGGATCCTCTATCCTGAGTTCTGGATTAAGTCGTGGACTTCGGGTCGTGGCTGAACCTGTCTCTGCGGTCCTGCCTTGGGTCTCGTCATGCTGCTTCCCTGATGGCTGTACGATATGAGGGTCTAAGGATAGACTGTCGTTTTTCTCATACTGATATTCTGAACAATCTGTGCTGTTGTATTAGCTGTAAAGTGTCTCTACTGTAGGCTATTTTTTTATTATATGTACTTCACTTTGGCTCGACCAAAAATTGTTTATAAATGTGCTTTATAAATAAAACTTGATTTGATTTGATAGAAGGTTCATGTTTATAACTTTGAAAGGGTCTATTACTGTACTCTGCTTATATTATTACACACAGTATCTTTATATGTGCACTCCAGCTAGGTATCATAGAGAGCATCCTATTGGCCACCCACCAGCGTCCCTGGCTCTGGGGGGTGTATGTCTTCACTGTTGGACTTCCAGCCGTTCTCTTCGTCAGCTTCATGTGGCCTGACAAGGTAAAATACACTTTTTTATTCACATGTGTGTGTAGATTTGTGTGCCTAATTGTCCAATACTGAATGTGTCAGATTATGACGCTTCAAGTACCCCTTTAGCATCTATTTTGAACATGTAAGGGCAACCTCAAGGGGTGTTACACAGAAATGTAATTATGACGGTGTGATGAGTCCGACTCTTTTTAAAGTAATGGTTCCTTTGAGTTGATACTTGTCAAATAATGGAACCTTTTGAGTTTTGCTGCTTCTTGCATAATATAACGTCAGTTTCTCTGTGACTCCGTTATGGTACATGCTAATTGAAATGCTAGGGCTGATAATCTCATAAAACTTCCCTTCGAGGCATTACCAGCCATCATTTATACTTAACATAAATAAAGATAGACCATTCGAAGGTACATACCGGACAGTAAAAAGGGTTATCCGAAAAATGTGTTTGGTCATTTTTGTACATCAGGTCCTAGGTCCTAGTGATTGAAGGGTCAAACAAACCACAGGTCAGTTCATTTTGACTAATCATCAGGATCTTAGTTTTGGTTTCCTGTTTTATTTTGAAATGTATTTTGTCCTTTTGAATTTTGTCTTGTTTTACTTCCTGTCTGTGTTTTCCCTCCTGTTTGATTGTCCAATTATTTTTCACCTGCTTCCGCTTGTGTTTTCGATGTCTTGTCTTGGTGATTAGTCTTGGGTGTATTTATCTTCCCAAGTGTTCTCGGTCAGTTCATCTTCATTGTGTCCTCCGTTTGGTTCTTTCTTGTCTGTTTTATTCAGAATTTCCCTCGTCTGCACTCCTGGGTCCTCCAAGTCTTCCCTGTTTGTTCCTCTTTTTGGTTGCCACTTTTCCAGTTTTTTAATAAAGCTGTCTTTTCGTTTATTCTTTGATAACCGCCTCTCTTTACTCTGCATTTGGGTCCTTGTTCCCTTCCCCTGTGACCCTCATTTTAAGAAAGACACATAAGTGAACTAATGCTACGTATGTAACCTAAATATTTGTAATTGAATTTAGGTAGCTGTATTGCTTAAAATGTGTGTTTGCTACCTTTTGTGAACCTAACCTAAGTTTGACTAACAAATCATCAATCACATATTGAAAAATAACGTTGAAATACGGCACTAAAGAGGTACCCAGTGCTTTAAGAATGAACAACAAAGGGTTGTGACCAAGCGTACGTATGTGAAGATTTTGGAGTGAACATGATGAACGTCCTGCAAAATAACTCTATAATGTGTTTGAGTGTGATTTGGTCCTAGAGAAAAAGTGCAGCTACTTTATAAGAAGCTACATCATGTTTTTTGTTGCATGTAGAGATTTGGACCACCAGATCAAGAGTACTACTATAAGAAGTCTGATGACACTCAACCAGATGATCCTGAGTTCTCAAAGCAGACAGACGCAGTGGATATCAAAGGTAATGTCTTATTATTGGATTATTTCAAGTACCACAGATGTATTTTTAATCCAGGAGGGGGAAGTTTTAGTAGTAATGTCTTCTGCTCTCTGTAGGAACGGCTGACAGAGCTAGAGGAAGAAGGAGAGATACTCATGGTAACACGAGGAAGGGTGACCTAGACCTAAAGGTGAGATTCAACAGACAATAAGAAGGTGATAATGAGTGAAAAAGTAATTTTTAATGTTATTTGTAAAGGTGCAGAAGCCTATTTCAAAGATATCTCAAATAATGTATGCACTGTAATTTCCCAACGTAAACATAACAGTCTGCAATGAAATGGTTGTCTCCCGTGTGCTCCATTTCCTCCATGGCGCACCGGTAACTTTCTCAACCAAAAAAATAAAAAAGTCAGACTTTTTTTTTCTCCCTTTAGGGGCTCCGTACTTTCATGATACACACACGTTTTGTTTAGCATAATCTCCACATATCAACACCACTTAAGCTTAAATGCAATCACCAGAAGTAAAAAGCTAAGGCTATAAACAAACTACATCACGTTTGCATGGCAACACATAACCACTGCTAAAGGCGGTCTCATGTCACTTGTAACCAACCGCCGTTTTTCTGACACATAGATGCTTCTGATATACACAAGTGGAGTATTTACTGATGTATTTCATGTCAGGGAACACAATTGGAAGATCTCTCAAGCTTGTGTTAAGCATAGACCTTATTTCACCATAAACATTTTCAAAAACTGTTGACATCGAGACCAGGGAACGGAGGCTATAAAAGGTTATGTGAGGACTTGTTTCTGCACCACTCTATTGAAGTGAGAGTGTTATGTACTGATGTCAAATGTGATGTTGCCCTTTTTCATATGCAATGAGTGTGGGTCCTGCGGTGGGGGAATGGAGAGAGGAGGATGGTCTCCTGCTATCACATGTGAATGATGTATGTGCAGAGTATATCTGAAATTGAATATATTTGTTGAGGGTCTAAGGATAGAGGGTGTCATTTTTCTCATACTGATATTCTGAACAATCTGTGTTGTTGTATTTGCTGTAAAGTGTCTCTACTGTAGGCTATTTTTATTATATGTACAGCACTTTGGCTCAACCAAAAATCGTTTATAAATGTGCTATATAAATAAAACTTGATTTGATTTGTTACATATTAGAAGTTTAGATTTTTTTATTTGATTTTGGATTTGTGAATGGGAGAAGTAGTAGATGGAAAAAATACCAAACACTAATTATTCAAAGTAGAGTATTTCATTTTATATACGGTAATACTAAGGAGGCATAGGCCTACAGTATATGATGATATAATGTTTGACATTATTGATATTAAAAAAGTGATTTGTTTTCCATGTCATTTGTGTGTTTTTCTTATCAGAAAGTGAAGTTATTTATTTGTAAGCTCCAAATTCCCTCAACGGCCTTTGTGCCCTGGCATGTGGCCTTTGCGCCCTGAAAACATTTGTGACACCAAAGGCCAAATGGCCTTGCCCCTAACATGACGAAAATCCAAGCCTGGTGTATAGTTAAAACAAATGCAAATACAATTAGTTTTAAAAATCAAAATCATATGCAATAAACCAACTTTTATTACCGACTTATAATTCCCAAAACCATTATCTTTTCTTTAAACATAAACAAGTGATGATGTTGCCTGAACATAACTACATTTTAAAATTGTATTCCACAATACAACATATGTCAGTGAATGCCTAAATTGTTTTAACCGGTCATTTACAATGCACACTCTTGTTGCTGCTAACAAAATCTAATTTAATATGTTTGTGTGCGTTGTGTAGGATCATTGATAAGTGCAATCTGAGGAAAGCACCACCACTACATAAGGGGAGGCTCGGCAATCACATCTTTGTCAAGTCATATTGAAATTTGTGAAAAATATGTCCTAGGAGTGATTGTATTATTATTTTCTTGAGAAGATAATGTCATGTCAGTCCACTTGTAAATGTTTTTACATATGAAATAAAGATACAATGTATAATGTATTATTTGTATTATTATTACTCATATTGCCCAAATGAAGGCTCAAAATTGAGAATAAGCTCTTAGACTTATTCTGCAATGTAAAGAAGAAACCAAAAGTGATTTGATCAAGCTGATGATTTTAAGAGAATAACCTTTATTTTCAGTATATATTTAAAATAATGTGTTATTTAAACACTGATTGTTTTTTGTATTGTAAGCAGGACAGTGAGTGTGTCAATGCATTCGTAGTAAGGAGCTGTGGCACTCTGTCTCAGTGGCAGGATTGTAGGCATGACAAGCAGAAGAATATTGGATTGGACAACAGGAATATATGTTGTTGTTTTATTGTAAAAGATACATTTAAATATCAGTTGGATTTGTGTTGATGTCATCATATTTATGTCATCTGAATACATTCCGAATCCTGTTGGCTTGATCCTTTGGAGTCATGATGTCATCCACACATTTAGAATGCGGTTTACTTTGATGCGTGGTATGAACTCACGATGATGTCACATTCCATCTTCCAGCCTACGAGAGTAAACCGTTTCTATCACATTTGGTTACATTCAGTTCAGTGTAGGACAAAATAATCCACTTAAAATCGACTCAATTTAGAGAGCATTAGAGAACCTTTTACAGGAAAAATGTCTCAAACATTTCAGGTAGAGAACAAATACATAATCGCAAGCCAGACCGCTAACTCCCTAGTATTGGACTTTATTGGAGAATTTGGATTTGACGATGTCGACAAAACGTGCACAGGATTACCAAAGAGGCCAGATGGTTTCTGTCAAGATCCTCCTATCACATCTTGTAGGAAAAGCTCACAGAAAGATCAACCCATTACTTCCATTGCTCACAATTCTGAAACATTTCAGGTAGAGAAAGAAGACATAATCTCCAGCAAGTCTGCAGACTACCGAGTATTGGACTTTATTGGAGAAGGAGGATTTGGCAAGGTTGCAAAATGTGTCAACCTAAAAACCTCAGAGATTATAGCCATTAAGATTCACAAAGACAGTGAAGATCAAGTTGAAGAAGTGAGAATGCTAGAAATCATCAGGAAACTTGACCCAGAGAAGAACAACCTGATAAGATTTATTGACAATTTCTTTTTCCGAGACGTTTCTTGCCTCGCATTTGAGATGTTGGATCAGAGCCTTTGGGACTTTATGACAAACAGAGAGAAAGCATATTCGCTTAATGAAATCCGTCCAATCACACAGCAGCTACTTGTAGCATTCAAAGCCCTGAAGAGCATTGGCGTCATTCATTCAGACCTTAAACATGACAACATCATGTTTGTGAACCACCAGAATGAGCCCTTTAGGATTAAATTGATCGACTTTGGTGAGGCCATCCCAACATCTGAAGTAAAAATTGGAACAGCAAAGCAACTTCTATCATACAGAGCTCCAGAGGTGAACTTGGGCCTCCCCATTTCTGAGGCCATAGACATGTGGTCACTGGGATGTATTATTGCAGAGATGTATTTTGCTGCTTACTTCTTCCCTGACAGCTCAGAATACTGTATTATGAAAGTCATTTGCCATATGATTGGTCAACCAGGAGACCACTTGCTAGATGCTGGGAAGTTCACCTCCAACTACTTCATTAGGGAACAGAAAAATAGTCCAGAGTGGAGATTTAAAACGCTAGAGGAGTACAAGGAAGGAACCGGTGTCGAGCCCGACATTTCAGAGTGTGTTTTAGACCAGTATTCAAGTTTGGATGAAGCAATTGAGGATTACGCAGAGGAAAAGGGCAGAGTTGAGTTGAAAGACAGCATGGTCTTTGTACAACTGCTTAAACGGTTACTTGACCTGGATGCTAACTCGCGAATCACACCCGAGCAAGCCCTGACTCACAGCTTTGTAACAATGGGTCACCTGGAAGAGGACCTGGACTGCAGCCCTTATGTTACAGATGCTGTTAGGTGGATGACCATCTGCAGACTGGACCATTCTGATTCATCGGATGTTGCAAACAATTCTGAAACATTTCAGGTAGAGAAAGAAGACATAATCTCCAGCAAGTCTGCAGACTACCGAGTATTGGACTTTATTGGAGAAGGAGGATTTGACGATGTCGACAAAACGTGCACAGGATTACCAAAGAGGCTAAATGTTTTTCAGCGAATGAGAAAGAGAGTGGTTTACTTTTGCAGACGTTATAATACCAGTGATGCAGACGCACGGCCAGATGGTTTCTGTCAAGATCCTCCTATCACATCTTGTAGGAAAAGCTCACAGAAAGATCAACCCATTACTTCCATTGCTCACAATTCTGAAACATTTCAGGTAGAGAAAGAAGACATAATCTCCAGCAAGTCTGCAGACTACCGAGTATTGGACTTTATTGGAGAAGGAGGATTTGGCAAGGTTGCAAAATGTGTCAACCTAAAAACCTCAGAGATTATAGCCATTAAGATTCACAAAGACAGTGAAGATCAAGTTGAAGAAGTGAGAATGCTAGAAATCATCAGGAAACTTGACCCAGAGAAGAACAACCTGATAAGATTTATTGACAATTTCTTTTTCCGAGACGTTTCTTGCCTCGCATTTGAGATGTTGGATCAGAGCCTTTGGGACTTTATGATGAACAGAGATAAAGCATATTCGCTTAATGAAATCCGTCCAATCACACAGCAGCTACTTGTAGCATTCAAAGCCCTGAAGAGCATTGGCGTCATTCATTCAGACCTTAGACATGACAACATCATGCTTGTGAACCACCAGAATCAGCCCTTTAGGATTAAATTGATCAACTTTGGTGAGGCCATCCCAACATCTGAAGTAGAAATTGGAACAGAAACGCAACTTCTAGCATACAGAGCTCCAGAGGTGAACTTGGGCCTCCCCATTTCTGAGGCCATAGACATGTGGTCACTGGGATGTATTATTGCAGAGATGTATTTTGCTGCTTGCTTCTTCCCTGACAGCTCAGAATACTGTATTATGAAAGTCATTTGCCATATGATTGGTCAACCAGGAGACCACTTGCTAGATGCTGGGAAGTTCACCTCCAACTACTTCATTAGGGAACAGAAAAATAGTCCAGAGTGGAGATTTAAAACGCTAGAGGAGTACAAGGAAGGAACCGGTGTCGAGCCCGACATTTCAGAGTATGTTTTAGACCAGTATTCAAGTTTGGATGAAGCAATTGAGGATTGCGCAGAGGAAAAGGGCAGAGTTGAGTTGAAAGACAGGATGGTCTTTGTACAACTGCTTAAACGGTTACTTGACCTGGATGCTAACTCGCGAATCACACCCGAGCAAGCCCTGACTCACAGCTTTGTAACAATGGGTCACCTGGAAGAGGACCTGGACTGCAGCCCTTATGTTACAGATGCTGTTAGGTGGATGACCATCTGCAGACTGGACCATTCTGATGCATCGGATGTTCCTGTCAACAATCACGAAACTGAATCGAATGGTGGAGAGAAAGACATGGAAATCTCCTGTAATGCAGACGCACGGCCAGATGGTTTCTGTCAAGATCCTCCTATTACATATTGTAGGAAAAGCTCACAGAAAGAGCAACCCATTACTTCCATTGCTGACAATTAAAATCTAGAGAAGTCCAATATTGACACGACACACAACAAGTCCACACCTAATTCCAACGATGGTGCTGCAGCCGCCATCACACCTACTGATCAGGGCGATGTCGACAAAACGTGCACAGGATTACCAAAGAGGCGAAATGTTTTTCAGCGAATGAGAAGGAGAGTAGTTTCCTTTTTCAGACGTTTTAAGAAATAATCCCCTTTTTGACTTGCTCTTTCAAAATCAGTCATATTGAAACCAAAACACCTAGAAAGTAATTGAAAAGAAATATCTAATTTCATCTAATGGATTGTAAAAAGTTGGGTTTTCTCCAGGTACACTGGTTTTCTCCTGCATTAAAAATAAATGTAAAAAAATACAAGCACAATCCTAAAACATAATATAGATATGTGAAACCCCCCAGATAGACCATCCGAAGCTTTCAAATAGGGATCCAGACCCTAAACAGAAAGCCCCTTAATTTTCCCCCTCACGGCACAGAGCTCTGTCTCATTACATTACATTGCATTTAGCTAACGCTTTTATCCAAAGCGACTTACAATAAGTGCATTCTACCAGGAAGATACAAACTTGAAGAAAACAAAATCATATAAGGACATCAGGTTTCATAGAGCCAAAACATTTCAAGTGCTACTCAACTGGCTTTAGATAAGCCAGTCCTTTATTAGTATATAAGTGCTTTGTTAGCAATTATTTGTCTCGTGTTATTGGTACATACCCCCATGGCTGCTGCTGTCTCACGGTCTACACAATCAGCATGGTTCGGATTCTAGCTGGGACCAGAACATTAAATTAAACAATACTGCAGATACAGCACAGATTATATTGGTTTTGCTGCAGTGTCTTTTGCTTAGAGTTTTTATATATATTTTCTGTATTTCTATATTTCACAATCACAATCTGTTTGAATACTTTAATTGTTTTATTTATTTGTACAACTAAAAATAAAAAGCTCAATTCCACTACATTGAGTATATTTCAACATTAATGAGTATCGAATCAAATATTGTGTTTTAGAAAAATGTTTTTAAGGCAGACATATAAATCATCTCATGTATGCTGATTGCTACCAGCTCTTTTAAACCTGATAATCTGGTTTGTATTACAAAACTGAAAGAACAGAACATACAATATAAGGCCTTTTTCAAATGTATTGGTTGAATTGGTTAAGGCCCATTGTAAATTCAGCGTGATCTTTCCTCAGAGCAGCAGCCGCACACCTTTAGTAAATCCACCAAAAATGCCACATTATTGACCCGAAAGTACACAAAAAGCAGACTCAGACGCTCGCCAGGGTCCTGACATGCTCCACACTTTGAAATATTACCGATAGCTGCTACGGTTTTCAACAAAAGTTAGAAATGTAAGAGGTTTATTTCTCATTCAGAACAATGGAAAGGCTCTCCTTTCACAGCACATCTCCATGGAAACCTTTGATCTCTGGGCTC